CGAAATGCATCAATTCTTCACTGTCTCGATCTTTCTTTCTTTATTGTCATCTTTATTGTCTTTGATTTTATTTTTTGAATCGTAAAGCTGCGGATAATTGACATGTTTTAATAACTTTTCAGTGTTTAAATTTTTTTGAAATTTGAGTTTGAAAATTTTCTTTTAAACAAACCTCACCTAAATAACTAAATAATCCTAAATCAAACTTAAAAAATCAATAATCAGATCAGTGGAGTACGCATGATTCATTGAAGTTGGTTTAACTGGAGATTAATTAGGTGGCATTTAAAAATCGGTCACGACAAAAGAGTCTGCCCAATACACACTTCTCTTGTTGTACACAACCCAGCCTTCAACAATATTGTCTCTTCTGAGAGCACCTTGTATTTCGTTCCATTCACTGTCGTTAGACAATAATACAACTTGAGCCAACTTTCTGTCCAAATGTGAATTAAAATTTTGTAGTCTGATTACAGGTTCTAATCAGTTAACTATGCATAAACATTAAATACAAAATAATTAAGTAGAAATTTCAGATAATCTACTCAATTAGCAATAAATGATACTTAAATTATAACCAATTTAAAATTTTCTTAAACTCAGGGAAGTTTTAGTTTAAAGTGTTCAGATCTTAAATTAAATTTTATGTTGTTATCTTTTGGCATCAATAAACTGGTCACGATCAGATTTTGTAAAAAATTAAAATAAAAGAAAGTCGATGGAGCTCTCTGTGGTAGAGAAAAGTACAATCGTAGTGGAAGTAACGCTACAGCACGACAATTAGCCATATGTAGAAATGGCAATGAGATTGGGCCGAAGCCTACGTGAGTCACCGACGATGACTTCTGTGGCGATAACGACGGCGATGACAGCGTCATCAGTAATAAAACGAACCACAGGTGGATTACAAATTTTATGTTTATGGTCGAACAATATAAAATTTAGATCAAAATTACTGATATCATCGAACAATATTCTCTATATTATATTAACTCTGGCTCTGCCCATTAGACGGTTAGGGACGGAACTAGAGGGCGGAAGAGGTTTCAGCCAAACTCTTTTCAGCAAAAATATATTGTACATATAAGATTTTTTTTTTCCATATATATATATTAGATGTTGAATTTTCTTAGCTTTTTTTGCTTATTTATATTTTTTATTTTTTGAATTTTCTTGATAAAAATCCTGTTTCCGCATTAATGATGATCTTGGCAACTTCAGCATTACAGATTTTGCTGAGTGTGATGATTTTTGCGTTAAAAATATCTAAAATTTTTTTGTCTATTGAGATGATGATATCTGTGTCAGCTCATGGACGATGATATCTCTAAAGGTTTCTTCAGCTATGTCGGTTTGCAGTAACTAATTGAAAAACATCCACTTTGCTCAGACGACAAAATGGGAATGCAAGATTCACGAGTAGAATAGTTTGTCCATAGAGAAAAGTTCCATAAGTTGTTGAAGCTAACTTATTTGGTAGCTACTGGAAACATGTCAGTTACCGGAATCAGTGGAATTAATTTCTGGACTTATTTGCCCTGAATGCTTATTTATTAGTACTTATATCAAATTATCATCGTTAAGTGATTTAACAAGATAAAACATATTTAATTTACCATAATTAAGCCAGAAATTCTTATTTAAACATGCAATTGAGTAGTTGTTTCTTTCGATTATGAATCTTCAACTTTTAACTAATAACGGATAAATCTTTAGGGCATACAGTCCACATACATTACAAGCAAAATGCCAGAGATGTGTTTATCAAATCAAAATGTAGACCGTGTTCTTAATTAGACGTTGTGATGCAATCACATCACATCTCTACTAAGTATATACTATATATTTCTAGGTTTTACAGTTTGATTTGTATATTCATAATTGTACCATGAGCGCTCTAGGACATCCATAAGATATTTTTTTTATTTACTTTTCATGATAAATTGACTATAAATAAATAAAGTGTAATATGACCAATATTTTGGCTAATGGAGCACATCTCACGTAAGCATAAGTATCTTTGCAAAGTGTAAACTTTGTTAGCAATATTTTTTGGGACCCAAAAATATTGCATTGTGTTGTGGACATTATTTGCACAAATTGTATCTCTTCTTTTACACCTAAGAGGCCAAAAAATTTTGCCTATAAAAGGGAAGGCCATTAGTTCATTTTAGACACACCAACAAAACTTGAGTCTTCATTTCTTCCTTTCTTACTTTATTAAGAGTGTATTGTATAAGAGTTAAGTATATGGAAGCACTTGTGTGAACCATTTCTTTGGAGTGATCTTGTGAGGTTATTTTCTTAGGGATTTTGGGATTAATTAGAGTGTTTATTCTAATTTTGTACTCTCTTTTGTACTCTTATTGGTATAATAAAATTGCTCATCTCCGCTTGTGGACGTAGGCCACTTTGACTGAACCACGTTAAATTTGTGTCTTCTTTATATGCTTTAATTGTCGTTGTTATCAACTTTCATTGTCTTTGTTATTCTCATTATATCGTCGTTTGGCTAAATTCTGTACTACCCGGGTTCCCGATCCTAACATAAAGCATTGAAAAAGATCTTTATTGACCACTCAAATTCATCTTCCAAGTTCTATAATTGCTTCAAAATGTCCCTGTCGAGAGTAAGTTATTACCCTATATATTCTTAGAGTTTTTTACACACTTGATCCTTTTTTAACTATTATTTAAAAAAATAGCATCATTTATTGTTTATTCCATAAAGAGCATTTTTTTTTCATTATTAGCATATTACAAAAATTAAGCCCAACATTCATCTTCGTCACTCCATTTTTAAAAATCTGATGCATATGTGAATGCCACCTAAATTTAAGATGTATTGATTTATACGTCTTTTATATTTTGTATATCAAGTATCACTTTAATTCAAAATGTATTTTTATGTATATAATTTTTGTATATTTATTTGTGAAGTGCCATCTTATTTTAAGATGTATTTTTAATGTATATTTCAAATATATTTTATATGTCAAGTGCCATTTTAATTCAGGATGTATTTTTTATATATATATTTTTTGTATATTTATATGCCATCTTAATTAAATTTAAGATATATTTTATGTATATTTCACATGTCTAAGTGTCATCTTAATTGAAGATGTATTTTTTATGTATATTTTTTATATATTTTATATGTGTTAATTCAATATATATATATATTTTATATACGTTTTGTATATATTAACGTATATTATTATCGAAGTAAGATCTTTATGTTAAGAAAGGAAGAAAGAAGAAAGAGAAAAACTTAAGAAAGATAATTAAAAAGAAATGAATGGAACAAATTTAGAAAATATATTGGATTCTGCAGAAAATAAAATTAAGAAGATGAAGAAAAAGAAGGAAAGCTAATAGATAAAGAGGAAAAAAAAAGGCATGATTTTTGTACAAAGAATTATTGACTTTCCATTCAAATTGCTTATGTTTAGAGATTGAAAATTAATATTCCTATTTTAATGGAATTGTGTGCTACAAATATAAATATTTTAGTGTTACAATTATAATATTAGATTTCATGCTACGAATTTATTATATTTCTTTTAAATTGTGACAGTTATTTAAAGTTCCCTTGTGCCACCTTTGGATTGCCCCGTTCCCATCTTCCTAATATGTGTTCTTTCCAAAATAATCCGCTTTGATAGGAACTGCAAATGATTTATATCAACCAGACATTTACTTATAATCCTTAATTAGTTAGATCAACATTACGAAAACTTTATAATCATTATTTTAATATTAATAATTTGTTGTATGGAAAAAATATTTAGTTATCATAATTATAATTGCATAAAATTTAAAAATAACTTTTAATTTCAATAATAATAAATTTAAGATATTGAGAGGTGGCAAAACGAGTCAAGGTCGTAAGTTGAAGCATATAAACAAGCTAAAGAATAAAAGATCGTTAGGTTGGTATGTAACGTTTGATCAGCATTATTAATTTTAAAATTCGCATAATTTAGGCGAGAAGTTATGTAAGTATTAATTTTATGGAAGATAAAACATGAAATATATATAAATAAACTGTATTTAGATTAAACAATCCTTTCATAATTTTTATGTATTATTTTTCACCATTACTATTTATCGTATAATAATCGTACATTATTTATTTATTTATTGCCCACATGAATTCTATTATAATACTGACATAACTAGCACATAAACCAAACACATGTGATTTTTTTGGCCAAATTTTTAGGAATCTAGGAGTGTTTGTATATGTTGTGTTGATTTTGGAGAGTTAATTTTTTTATTGGCCAAGCTTCTGGGTACAAAATGAGTGCCTTTGAGTTGTAGTTGTTTTTTTTTGTGGAAGAATTCGAAGAAAATAGCTTTCCTAAGAAAAGTTGTTATATATATATATATATATATATATATATACCGAACAATCCCAATTATGTGGTAAAAAACACATATCATGATGCATTGTCGACAACTCGTTTAGGACCAAAATCTCATAATACATGCTCCCTCTCTATTTTATATATTATTTTTTTGTACATTTCAATTAAATAAAATTAGAAAATTCAATTAAAGTCATTGATAACAAATATTCCAAATCATTTATTTATCTAAATGATACTAATTCCCAAAGCACTTTTAGAAAAAAAGCCAAATGTAAATTGCCTTTTTCTTGGTATCTAATGTAAAATGCTTTTTTAATACTAATGAGATCTTTTTTAAAAATATTTGGAGAAATATAAATTGCCATTATCCAGAAGTACTTTTCAAAATGCACTAATCATTTAACGAAAATACAATTTTCTTATTTACGAAAATGCTTTTTGAAAATACTACTCCACTCCATAAGTAAATTTGGAAAGTATAGCCAAACAAGCGCCTAAAGTAATTACCGGCCCTATTGCCATTCCGGTCACTATCACTCTCAGCTGCCAAACGCAAAAAGCCCTCAATACGCGTTTCCTTTCCTTTATTTGGATCCCGCGCTCTCTTCTCCTCTCTATCTAACTCTATAAATAAAGAAAAAGTAGCAAAGCACTTTTAAAGTGGTTACAAAAACAGTAGCCTTAAATAAATAATCCAGCTACTTCCCTTGCCTTGTACATGCAATGCAAGTACAGGCTGCCGCCATGGCAAATTTGTCACCATTGTTATTAACAACGATTTGGTTAGTGCTTGTAATTTGTAAAGGAGTAGATAGCAGTCCCTCCTCTGTTGTTGGAGATCCGGGAATGAAAAGAGATGGTCTAAGGATAGCTTTAGAAGCTTGGAACTTCTGTAATGAAGTTGGTGACGAAGCTCCTGGAATGGGTAGTCCTAGAGCTGCTGATTGCTTTGATCTTTCTGGTAGTTAAATTTAACTCAGTTTCCCCCACCCAACCCCTATAAACCTTTTTTTAGCAAGGATTAAAGTAAAAAAAGAAAAAAAAATCCCTTTTTCTAGCTTTCATTTTTCTGATTAACTCCTTGTTCAATAGGCATTGTGGCATTTGGTACCCCCTCCAATTGGCCATGGAATTTAAGAAAAAATGACTTTTAAAATTTGTGGTATAAACCAAACAATGCATATCTGTGTGACTATAAATCACAAAATGTGAAGTTTAAAGTTATATTATTTCTAAACATAGGACATACTAAAAAAGGAAGTGACATAAATTGGGATAAGAGGGAGTATGGATTTGATTATCAAAGCTACTAAGGTTGTATTTTTGTAGACCCTGACCCTATAATCTGATCTATTTTTGTTATGTTTTGCAATGATTGTGTGATGTGCAGACAGTTCTTTGAGTCACAAGGTAACCGAGTCGGATAATAAGCTAGGAGTTGGCAAGACATTCCCTGGCCTGAGTCCTAAGGCTAAGAATAATCCGGACTTATATGCTGTTGAAAAGGAACTTTATCTTGGTTCATTGTGTGAAGTTGATGACACGCCGAGGCCATGGCAATTTTGGATGATAATGTTGAAGAACGGAAATTATGACACAAAATCTGGTCTTTGCCCAGAGAATGGGAAAAAAGTGCCCCCTTTTAATCCCGGAAGATTTCCTTGTTTTGGGAAAGGGTGTATGAATCAACCTATATTGTATCACCAGCCCACTTCATTATTAGTCGATGATATTATGCGGGGAGGTTTTAATGGTACCTATGATTTGGGTTCTACAACGGATGGCAGTAGTTCCTTCTTTGAGGTGCTCTGGGAAAAGAAAGTTGGCACAGGGGGTTGGGTATTTAAGCACAAACTCAGAACCTCCAAATTGTATCCATGGCTGATGTTGTATCTTAGGGCGGACGCGACCAAAGGGTTCTCTGGAGGCTACCACTACAATACCAGAGGAATGTTAAAAACTGTAAGCTCACTGTTCTTGTCCTCAGAATATGTTTTTATTCCCTCCATTTAAATTAATCGAAAAACTGATTTGGGGTTGCTTGCTTTGATAACTTCACCACTTTGATTGTGAAAATTGATTGAAAAAAAAAGCCTTATAAATATCTATTGGTTCTAAGTTATGTTTGCCTTTACTAGCATTATTGTTGAACAATCGAGCATGAAGCTCTGCAGGAAGATTCTTTTTTTTTTTGTGCATCAGGGAACGTTTGATGCCTGACATTAAAAATCTACTTACAATTAGGGGTACTTGATTCTTCATCAACTTAATGTCAATTCTGGCCGCCTACCTGAAAGAGGAAATAAGAAATCAAAAGAGAATAAATCCATTTCAAGAGGAAAGTAATGGAAAGCTGAATTAGTAGAAGTCACCCAGCCACATGCTGTCCACATTAGAGCAAATAGGCCTGGCCTGAATGGCTGTTGACACGATGATCAGTTAGTCGTATGTCTTATTCTACCACTAAAATTCCGAGCACAACTGCAGGTGATTTAATTGTGAACCTCCCTGGTTGGTCACCAGGCATCTGACGGGTACATTTAAAAATTAATGCCATTACTGGGGTTGCATTTTTTGCTGTCAGTTTGGGAGTTAGTACGAGGGAAATTGGAGTCCCTAAGCTAATACTTTATTAGGATTAAGGGGGTGGGTTTACCATAAAGAGATGAGTAGGCTGTAGAGAGCATGGGGAGTGTTGGGCCTGACAAGGATTCGTTATATAAACGGTCTATCTGGTAGTATTAGCAAAGAATTGAGAATACTATTGATATACATATGGCTATCGAGGAAATCCGGTGGCAAGATCATTAAGAATCTTTCTAAACCAAGTGTTACAAATGAAATACGAAGAAGAAAAAAGATATTTTATTTTCTTCTACTGTTTGAAGAATTTCATGGGTTTTCAATGCTATTCCTGATAACAGCACAATTATTGTTATTTCAGCTCCCGGAGTCACCTAATTTTAAGGTCAAATTGACCTTGGATGTGAAGCGAGGGGGAGGACCGAAGAGCCAGTTTTACTTGATAGATATTGGCAGCTGCTGGAAGAACAACGGTGCTCCATGTGATGGAGATGTGCTCACTGATATTACTAGATACAGCGAGATGATCATTAATCCAGAAACTCCAGCTTGGTGCAGCCCCACAAATATTGGCAACTGCCCACCTTTCCACATCACACCGAACAATACTAAAATCTACAGGAATGACACCTCTCACTTCCCTTATTCGGCTTATCACTATTATTGTGCTCCTGGGAACGCCGAGCACTTGGAAAAGCCATATAGCACATGTGATCCTTACAGTAATCCCCAGGCACAGGAGCTAGTTCAGTTGCTGCCTCATCCAATATGGGCAGACTATGGCTATCCAACCAAACAAGGAGACGGCTGGGTTGGGGATGGAAGAACATGGGAGCTTGACGTTGGTGGCCTTTCCAGCAGACTTTACTTCTATCAGGTAAGTGGGATTGTTAACTTTTTTCTCAAAATACGGTGCAAAAACCATGTTTAAATCAGACAGAAGTGCACGAGGCATTTAATGCTCAAGATTAAATAACAAGTGGCCAGACCAACCTGTATGATTCAGTCCTTGCTCTTTTTGGCTGCAGGATCCAGGTACACCTCCTGCTAGAAGAATATGGACATCTCTGGATGTGGGGACTGAAATTTTTGTTAGCAACAAAGATGAAGTGGCAGAATGGACTCTGAGCGACTTTGATATTTTACTCACCTCGTAAAACCGTAATAATGATACCATTCTATTTAACATTGTAACTGTAGCCAAAGCAAAATCAGATAGTGGGGCAAGGTCTCATCATTCTTGATGTCCAAACTTTATCTTTCTATACTAGATCTGATCTGACGGGCAAGTCCTGTCAACTTTATTTCCCTGACTGAGAGAAGAAAAAAGAATTTTGTTTTTGCTTTATTTTCGCGAACTTCTGGGTGTTCACTTTGCCTAAATATAGCATTGGCTTCTGGTGGAATGAAAATTACAGCACAGTAACCTTCAAAATAAACCTGGAATTCCCTGCACTTTCTGTGGTTGCTTTTCGAGCTTGGATGAACAGACATGTGCTTATGTGTATAAATATACATTCTTTTTGAGATGTGTATTGTTAAAAAGGGCATGCAGATATGAGCGTCAGAAAAGGAACAAACCCAAAGCATATCGTAGATTATGTTAGTTCTTTGGCCATGATCCCCTCTGGTACCTATAATTTATAGCGGTACGCCAATTTGGTTGGAGTGCTGCAGTTAATCTACTTATCTTTGATTGTAATTTCTATCCTAAACTACTTCAGGAAAGTGGTGGGCTACTATGAGAGATTGTCTTGACGTGTTCCTTATTGCACATTTTGGTTATTTAATTTTTTGTCAAGGCTATGCTATATTACCATCACAAACCCATAACGGAATGGAGTGTGTGATTATCATGTTTTAAAATGCTTGTGGTAGGTTCAGAATTTTGCATGGAAAGCTACTGATGAAGACGGTAGAAGAAAATAGTAAGTGCTAATGAAACTTCAAATAGTCACAGGTTTGATCTTTCTGCTCTCATTGAAATTAGTTAGCTTATTCATGCTCAAAATCCTTCAGTACTGTCATTCTTACATGCCCTTCAACGTAATGCAGATACTCCTTTGATGCTGAAAAAACTTTTGTTTGTTGTCTTTGTAGTATCAAATGCTTGTATACAAGTGCTTATGAAACCAAAGGTTACTGTCAGAGAAATGCCCTTGGCCTGACAGGTAAAAGTAAGGCAAACCAATGCATTTCATGATATTTCTCTACTGAACTAAACTTGTTCAGGCTACCATTTTGAATGGAATAATGGAGCTATAAATGTGCAATCAATATCTTAAACTAGTATATGTATAATATGCTCATCTCCACCCTTCTAAAAACGATGAGGTGGATGAGCAATGTGAATTTATTGTCCCAAGCACTTAGACTGTGTCATTGCTTCCATGCGTTTACTCCAGTTTCCTTCCAGGGGCATTAATTCATGAACAAACTCTGTTCTTGTCTGCCGAAGTTGTTGCCGAATAAGCATATGATAGTGGCATCACACACTATTGCATTTTCATTTGGCTTCAAATGTAATTCTTAAATATGAAAGGGAAAATGAGATGATGGCCAATATCCAAATGAAAGCCTAGAGATCAGCAAATGTGCACGGAGGCGGACCCAGGATCATAATGCAACGAGGGCACAATATTCTGCTCAACCAGTGCCCCCTAATGGCTTTTAGTGTTTAGGGTTCCAAGTGATTTAAATTAACCATTTTCAAGCCGAAATTTACGGGGTCCGGTTATCCCTCAATATTACACATAGATCTGCCTCTGTGTGTGCTAGTACTACTTTATGCTTATTATTTGTATTACGAATAATGGTCTTTTCTTCATGATATGAATTTCCTTTACCACTGTTGTTCTATTTTGATTTTCTTATTTCTTGTCTTTATGTGGATCAAGAAATGGTCCATCTCTTGGTGAAATCCCTAAATACTTTTTATAGCGGGAAAACAGTGGATGTGGGTGAAGAGAGGTCTAACCATATATTCTCTTTTTAGGCTTCTTGTATGAACAATGTTATCAAAGGCGAAAAGCGCAAAAAAGCTCTAAGGTCCGTTGGGGCTTTAAGCGCAAAGCACAAATAAAGCGTGGACTTTAATGAAAAAAGACGCAACCGGAGAAAAAGTAAAAATATGTATATGTAGTCCAAGACTAATAATTATAAGCATGAATAACAAATATATGGACAAAGAAATTAGAAAAAAATTAAAGTGAAATATTAATTGTTTAATGTCGTCTTTTCATGATTACACTCGTTGGCAAGGAATAGTATGTCTTAGAGCCTTGATGCAATACTAAAGCGCCCACAAGGCGAGGCGAAGCGCTCAACATGTTTTGAGCCTCGCTTCAGGGCTTAAGCGCGCCTTTGACAACACTGGTATGACCGGACCAAAGAGGTATTTGAAACTCAGTTGCCAAAGTTCAGAAATTACCAGGACCTTCAAAGAACTGTTCTGAATAAACTGTTTCATGTGTCATATATTCTTTTTGCAGGGGCCTGGGGTGGTTCTGCTTGTGTTCATAGAATTCACAGAATAGTTACCAAGTTGTACTAATATCATTCAAAACTTGTGCAAATGATCCTAAGAGAACTAATTACTTGGTAGTCTCTTTGTGATTATTGGCAAAAAGAGAGCTGCTGCGCCTGTTCTTAATGATAACAATACTAGGTAAAGCAGGCCAGTGAAATCTCACTTAAGCTCTTTATGGCAACTTATTCGTGGTTTTAAGATTCTTTTGACTATTATAAAAAAACTTATTTGGAGACCAATGGGCAGGGCTCCAGTTCAAGCAGTTGAAATTAATAACCAAGATCTCGTCTCAGAGCTAGAGCTATGGAGTGCGAAAGACAAAGGCTGACATTTTCGTAATAACAAGGTGCCCCTTTTTATTTGAATTTAAAAGAGTGATAGTTTTATCCATGATAACCGTAGGAGCTCGCCCCGTGAGGCCAGAGTGAGCTTAGCAGTCAGCCGTCATTTGAATTATATTACGGATAATTTGCCTCATTCTTCATTTTCTGATTGTGTGCACAACCATATGACAACATTTGTCAAGTATTATATATGTAGGGTTAGGAGAAAAGAGAACAAAAGCATCCTTTCCATGCTTGGATGGAAAAAGCTAGGAGGGTGACCTATCACATGCAAAGAGGAAAGGAAAAGGACACCTATTTCGCTTTGGTTAGACAAGAATAAAAGAATTAAAAAAGGAAAAAGCGAATTTACAATGTGTACAGGTTGTTCTTCTTACTAATTATAGGAATTCATTACCTTCATTTTCATTATATTTTGTTTTTTAGAGCTGGGAATAGCTAGTGAAAAGGAGAAGGGAAAGGCTTGGTAATAGTTTGATTTTACTTTGTACATGTAGAATACAATGTATTGCGGTTTACCAGCATATTATCCCGAATATTTACGTTGCCTTTGTAAATATGTATTCCATATAATTGTTTTCTCGTTCTTTCAAGTTAACTCCCGTGTTATTTTTTCAATTTTTACTTACATCTTGGTGCATACAAAACTTTAGTTTTAGTCCTTTCTCTCTGCTAACTCAGTTTTTATTCTTATTTTTCTTCTTTTTTTCTGTGTATTATTCCACCTTTCTTTGGGTCCTCATCTCAGATTCTCAATCAGTGACAAATATAAGTACTTAATGGAGTAGTTGTTATTTTGTTGCGAGTCAATGGCTTTTGACACGATGAAGAAAGGATTAAGCAGAGGAAATCACCAATAGTAAGTAAGAACAAAAATTATTCTGAATATCTAGAAGGACAATGACACCAGTAAGGAACATCAAAAACAACAAATAGTAACATTAAAATTAATGTCTTTATTACATTCACAAAAATGAAATATGTTGTCATATAGTATATGTTATTCCTAATTACTTACAATTATGATTCTTCTCCAACAAAAACGAATCCCATGCAATATAATATGCATGTACATAGACATAAATATATATAGGGTTGAGAAGTAGGAATGTGGGAATTGATTAATGTTTTAATTATTTCCCACCAAGACCAAAGTAGAACGGTGCATTAGTTCCAGGCAACCACTCATTACCTCTAAGCCAAGCCCCAACAGTGTATTTAGTTGCTTCTTGTGGGCTAAGGACCTTGAAATTCTTGAAAAGTTTGCTCCTAAGGTTAGTAGCAGCACCAGGTCCTCTGTTTGCATACTCATAGACAAGACATGTTTGATCGAATGGGTGGTCATCCCATTTGAGATATCCTTCTGGCCTAATGAAATCACCAATCTCGCTTTCCATGAACACATTGGTGGATAATTGCTTCCATGGGCGGGCCAAGTAAGATTGTACCGCGAACCTCACTGGGAAGAGTTCTTTGTCTGGTACAATCCTGCAGTTTTGCAATACCAATCCAGTGATTTCACTCTGCAATTCCCTGCCGTCAGCTGTGATTGTGTTCTTCTGAGTCGGGCCACACTTCCTCACAATGATCTCACTGTTCTGGATGACCGCTGAGCCCATGCCAAATATGAAATCCACCGTACCAGAGATGACGCAGTTGCGGTAGAACTGGCGATGGGATTGATAGTACAAGGTGTCTTGAAATCCCTCCATGCTGCAGTCGAATACCGCCGCCCTATCTCCGTTGATTCTAAGTGCCACGGCTTGTTCCCCTTCTGGACCTGCTGTGTTGCGGAAGGTAATTCCTCTGGCTATGAACCCCTCGCTCTCAACAGCTGCAATATATA